ATGGGGAAACCTTCCCCCACCCCTTCCCCTCTAACGATTCTATGTAGCTAATTCCAAAGAGACAGTGCTGACACAGTGTGTGCACAGTCCAGGGAAGTCTATTTTCCTGATCGTCTAACCTTGATGCATTCAGTCAAGAATCCAGGCAGCCTTCTGTCAAATCTGGTCTTGGATTTGCGGATAGTGCCTTAAACCCAAGGTACTGTATTTTGAATGAACTATTTTATGCACCGTGACTAGCATGGCCCATCCAAACATGTATGTCCTCTGGAGATTTCCAACCAGCTCCAGCCAAAGGTCTGTGGATAGTTTTATGCTACCCTTGGACCAACCCATGCCCAGTCCGGAGGCCACTCTAAACCAGATCTCCAGTTTGCATTGAACATCTGTGGTCCCAAAAGCCTACTTACAGCAATCAATCACCACCAGGACACAGGGATGTCCCCAGCCACATCTTCTGCCCACAGCCTTGCTGCAGAGAAGGATGAAATATGGGGCTCCCCAGTGCTACTGCCCAAGGATGCCTGACACCATAGGCCAGGTAATCCAACTCCATAGGAGCCTTTCCTTAGAACAACCCAACATCTTACCCATGGTTCCTATTCAAGGTACACACGGTAATACCCATGCCCTTATATCACATTGCCAAGCAGTGCCACTCTGAAGCATCACACTGCTCAACACATGCCGCCTCCTGGACTGGAATCAATACAAACCTCTCTACGGCTCTTGGCTAGAGGGTCTTGCTCTTCTGTTCTGGGTCATGCTTAGCGCCAAACTTGGAGAAGGGAAGGATTTTTTTTTTCTGCCCCTCCCAACTCAGATTGCCAAGGGCTGTGTGGGGGTTTCTAAGACCCTTTAAGCATAAATGTATCAATTACTTCCCTGTCATTGCAGTGGCAGGGGATTGGCCATGCCCTCACCTCCCCTGCTTTACCTTTGCCATGTTATAGGGCAGGTGTGCTCAACCCCTGGCCTGCAGAGCCATGTAATCCAGCCTGTAGGTCTCCCCGCGGGTCTGAAAATTTGGTGGTGGGGGAGCAGTGGTAATTAATGCTGCTACCGCTCCCTTGCCACCAAATTTCCAAACCACTTGTGGCTAGACCAGCCTTGCATAAAGGAAATGGTCTTGTTCCCATATAACTACATGGGAGCCTGGCTAGGCCATTCCCATGCACTTGGATTGGGCCACGTGCCTAATCAGACCCATGAACTGGATCCAGCCTGTAGCAGGACTTGGCACTGCTCATCTGGCCTGCAGGCCACGAAGGTCGGGCACCAGGGTCATAGGGCATTCTTGGTGCTTCTGGCTTTGTGTTTGTTGGGTGAGGGTTTGAAGTGGTGACTGCGGAGCATTCACAGGTCAAGGGCTGCCGGTGAATGTAGGGAACCTGCCTCAGTGGCCCAGGAAGCCCCTTTCCATTTCTATGTTCCTGTCTTAGGGGGTTCAGCTGGTAAATGAATGAGCTCTGATGAGAGGCAAGACTAACATGAGCATAAACTTGAGGGGGCCTCTTTTGCTGTGGGAGGTAGCAGGCCAGAAGCAGCGTGTCGTGATCTAGCCCAGCACTGCCTGGCACACTACATCAAGGATACAAGGATGCCCAGCGTGTGCAGCATATCAACACATCATGAACATGTGCCACTTCTGTAACACATACATACACTTTGCAGTGTTAAGATGCAGTTGGATCAGAGAGCGTTGCTCTTCTGCAGCACTGGGGTAACATCCATTGAGTGGAAAGGGCCAGAAGATGGCCAACATCAATGTTTTGGACCCTCTCATCTGTGCAGCCCTTACTCCAAAGTCGGCATTTTTGCAACACTCACATCCCAAGAATTTCAATAAAAGAATTAAAAAATATTTAAGGAATACATTAGAAGCCTTGGCATAAGTGCCTCCATCTTGTAGGCATCCTCCAGTACATAAAGGCTGGAACAACTTTTGGGTAACTTTGTGAAGAGACAGGCTCACGAAGCCAGTTTCCACATTTTTACTGGGGTAAGCAAGAAAGCACTGACTTAGGTCTTGGACTATAATCACACAAACAAAGCAATTAAAACCCATTACCATAAGGAGCAGCGCTCATTGTTATGAGCTGACACCTGACTGCTAACAGCTGAGGCCATCCTAATTAGTTAAGTATTTGTTATAAATTCTTCACTTAGCTGAGAAGGGGGAGTCTTCATGATCAACTCTTTCCATTAACAGAAACCCAATCAGGTTGAAGATGGATGGATTTGTTAATTGTATATGGATGATTGTGAATGCGGGGGAAGTGGCAAATCATGGACCTGAGCGGGTAGAAGACCTGAAGAAGAGCCCAGCATTGCTGGGGGTCCATCTTACACCCTTTTTGCATTTCCATTTTTGGCTTTCCGCCTGTTTTTGCCTGATCTGAATGCCAGTTAAACATATGTTTAGCTTTCCAATAAAGCGATGCTCATGAGAAGAGACAGGTGTGCTCTCTCTTTATTCCCCATCCAACAAAGCAAGTTCCCTTTGTTCTAATTTGGGGATAGCGGGCTTCCCTTCAAACCGCACGAACACTAAAAATGATAAGTCAATGCCTGGGTGAGAATGAGAGGAACCATAAACAGACAAACATTGTAGCATTATTATAAAACCCTGCTGTAAGCTCTTATCGTGAAACCACTGCATCACCACAGGAGCATGCCATGTGTCAGCACTGTTGCAAAGTGGTTATCGTGACAGTAGCCTGCAAACCTGTGTACATCTTAACACATGATGCCCACTCCAAGAGGTAGCTCCTTCTCAAGTTTCTGTCTCTTCGTAGCCAGAGAAGGCTGAAAGAGCGCTTGACTTGGAAGGGTAAACTTGTGTTGGAGGTTTTCTTCAGTTTGCAAACACCATGAGCTGCCTTCCCTTCTAACTTGTGTAATTGCACCCATCTGCCCACCCCAAATCAGTTGAGAACCACATTATAGGGCCTTATGTAAACCCCACTTGAGCCTACCAGAGGGAGCTTTCCCCTTGGGGAAATACTGCCTGCAAAGGAAGTCCACTTGAGTATTTTCCGTACCTAGGTACCTACCTGGTGGATATTTTGTAATAGCTTTGTGCACTATTATCCAGCAGGCTGCAGATATTAGCACGATGCTGACAAATGCCACGAGGTGGCAGTAGCTCCCCACATACCTACAC